ATATATATATATATATATATATATATATATATCATCTTCAGCAAGCTATATTAAACAGGGTAAATTATTAGGTACAAAAAATTTATAAATTTGAACATTTTATAAAAGTAATTAAAATACAGAATATAAGGATGAAGTATATTAATAAAACAACAAATAAAAAATGACTAGGATAAAATAACGATATTATACAAGTATTTAGAACAGACTTAATCGCAGTGGAGTTGTGTTATCATTTGAAGTTCATTTATAATAGATAAACTTTCTTTAATTAAAAGTTCATTATTTGATGATCCAGATGAGACGACTTTAAAATTCATAATCAAGACAGGATGGTTAATGTTTTCGCTATGTGTGTGAATTGTAAAGTCTGGTAGATTTGATAGTTTGTTACCAGTTCTGCTTGATACTCCCATATGTTCACAGGCTCCCAGGTGTAACTGCCAAATAGTTTTGCATTACAGCCACCACATGTGTATTTATATACGATCCTGGAACGCATAGGGGTAGGTAGTAGGTCTTTAGATCGGAGTAGATTTTGTAGTTGAACTTGTGGATATTTAAATGACCTTTCACTGGTCACTTAAAACTATGCTGATAACCACCTGACCAATGGTGTTAAGACCAAACAGGTGCAACAGAAGTCTGGGCATTCTTTCTCAATATTTAAGCCTAATTAGCTATGGGATATTCAAATAAAGTAGTAAAGACATTCAAAGCAGGATGTTGGATCCTTGAAGGACAATAAAGAAGAAGAATAGTCAAGTATTCGAAAGCGCTCGAGTTTTGGGTCTTATTTTAAGTCTATACGTTTGAAGAATATGCATAAAACATGTATTGAATTTAACCATCTAAACAGTAAGTACAATTCAACACCTAAAGGATAAATTATCACATACAACTGTCCACACAATTGATTTTAGTGTTAAAAATCCCCCCTGTGGCACAATATTTAAGAATCCAAGTACCAATAACTTTTCCTTTTTAACTATAACGATGTAAAAAAAAAGGAATATCGACACATTTTTACTTTTCTTACAATTCTGTCATCTGATAAAAAATCAAAAGTACCAGTCAAAGTTGTGGGACATCTCCAGGTTATGTTTTTTACTTTTGCATTATTCTTTTTTTCTTTCTTTAATCTCTCCAGTCGCTGAGCTGTGTTGGACCGACGACGATGTGCTCCAATAAATTCCATGTCAGAAACAATATCACACGACTGCACCATTTCTGTAAGGTCAACGTCTAAAGCATTTTCGTAGTAGTCTGGCATGCTGACCACAGACCTGACTGGGTCATCACAATCGCCGTTGTCTTTAACAGCAGCACTGTCTATTGGTTCGTTCAACATCACCATTTCACTGATCCCAGTGTCATCACACGTGATATAAGAGTGACGTATGTGGTACAGAAGAAACTTACGATCATCAAAAAACGCCATGATACTGTTGAAACTTATAAAAGAGATCTGGAAAATAAGAACATCAGAATCAGTTCTGTTTTCACTGTGCTTTTTTCTTCTAGAGTAATATAATTTGTGTGCTTTCGAAATATATATATGATTTATTGTGTCTTTTACCAACAGTACAAGACAAAGTTTCTTAACCTACAACAGTTGTTAAAATACATTTGGAAATGCTGTTACTTCACTTCTGAAAGTATTCTAGTAAGTTATTAATAAAACAAAAGAAAAATTATCTTGTAAGCAGTAGAGATAAATACCTCTATTTATTGGTATCAATTGGTTTATTTCCTGAGAATATGAACAAACTTTGACAGTACTATTCCGTGAACTGGCAGAAAATCAACCTTTAAACAAATTCTTGTTCTAAAAAAAGTTCTTGTACTGCAGGAATAAAATCAACAAACAACATATATAAAACATGAGAAGTAACACCTGGTGTACAAAATTTACACTTTGCTGGTATGAATTACCTCTATAGTGAGAGGTTTTGACCAGGTGTTTAATAAGATGAGATGTACTATTATGTGTTTTAATAAATGAACTGAGATATATTAGAATGTACTATAGTACAGCCACATGAACTGAGATATATTAGAATGTACTATAGTCCAGCTACATGAACTGAGATATATTAGAATGTACTATAGTCCAGCCATATGAACTGAGATATATTAGAATATACTATAGTCCAGCCACATGAACTGAGACATATTAGAATGTACTATAGTCCAGCCATATGAGCTGAGACATATTAGAATGTACTATAGTCCAGCCACATGAACTGAGATATATTAGAATGCACTGTAGTCCAGCCACATGAACTGAGATATATTAGAATGTACTATAGTCGACCTACATGAACTGAGATATATTAGAATGTACTATAGTCCAGCCACATGAACTGAGACATATTAGAATGTACTATAGTCCAGCCACATGAACTGAGATATATTAGAATGTACTATAGTCCAGCCACATGAGCTGAGATATATTAGAATGTACTATAGTCCAGCCACATGTACTGAGATATATTAGAATGTACTATAGTCCAGCCCCATGAACTGAGACATATTAGAATGTACTATAGTCCAGCCACATGTACTGAGATATATTAGAATGTACTATAGTCCAGCCCCATGAACTGAGATATAATACCATGTGCTCTAACTCAACTGGATGAGATTAGACACATTAGCATGTGTTCTTATCCAGCATTATGCGCTAAGATACATTAGACTATATTTGTCTAATTTATATACTTACATATCCATAAATCTGCATTGTTCAATTCTTCCAGTTAACAATATTTGTCTAATTTATATACTTACATATCCATAAATCTGCATTGTTCAATTCTTCCAGTTAACAATATTTGTCTATTTTGT